CCCAGCCTCTTGCCCCCCGGGGCCCTTTAGCTCTTGCTCAGCACTGCTCAGATCCCCTCTGAGGCTTCTCCTCTCCAGCTCAGCAGCCCCAGGGCTCTCAGCCTGGCCTGGCACAGAGATGCTCCAGCATCTTCGTAGCCCCCACCGGACTCTCTCCAGTAGTTCCCTGTCTCTCTTACAGACCACCTGGCCCATAGACCTGCCCTGCACCCACTTTGGTGCCACGGCTTGGGATGGCTGCTGCTCTCTCCAACAGACAGCACGTCTGACACGGGCACTGTGCTCCTTCCCTGGGTGCTCCACAAACCTGGGAGAAGCCACAGACCCACCGAGGGGGTGGGGGCTGCTCTGGGAAGGGCTGGGGCTGCAGCAGCAGCTCCTGGGGACGTGGGGAGGCAAGCCTCAGCTGGCTGCACAGCGAGGGAGCAAACGAGCTCAAGGGAGATTAGAGGCAGAGAGGAAAAATCCCAGCATGACACCATGGGATTAAACTTGGGGAAGTGCAGAGGGAGGGGAGAGAGGATGACGAGTGAGGATGATGAGGGAGGATGACGAGTGAGGATGATGAGCTTCTCCAGCCCCTGCTATCTGGGAGCAAAGAAGCGTTTCGGAAGCTCGACCCAGTTCCAAAATCAGTGCTCATCATCTGATCCCGTCACAGATGAGCAGCAGGGCAGCAAAGCTGATGATGTGAGCTCCAAAAACAGCTTCTGATTCTTTCCCTGCTATCTTGGTACCTCCCAGATGCTGCTGGAGCTTCAGCAGTACAAAAGGTACCTCTGCTGATGTAGATAAACACCATAACATTGAAGCACTTCTATAAATAGACCCCTGCCAGGGTAAGGGGTCATGTGGCTTTAAATACACCAAGAAGAGGGGGAAATATCTTTGTATGGGCTTAATTAAACCATTAATTAAGCCTGTGCCATCACTGAATGGCAGCCAGCCCAGGGGGGTCCCTAGTAACAGGGATAAGAGATTCCTGATGTAGATAAACACCATAACATTGAAGCACTTCTATAAATAGACCCCTGCCAGGGTAAGGGGTCATGTGGCTTTAAATACACCAAGAAGAGGGGGAAATATCTTTGTATGGGCTTAATTAAACCATTAATTAAGCCTGTGCCATCACTGAATGGCAGCCAGCCCAGGGGGGTCCCTAGTAACAGGGATAAGAGATTCCTGTGAAAGTTTTGCTGTAGGTATAAATAATTGGAGTTCCTCTCTTCACCCAGGCTGCCAAAATGAGTTTGCTCCTTTGTGAGCTCCACGGGAAGAGCTGGTCCTGGACCAGCCATCTGATGAGCTCTGGGGCTTCCTAGACATCCCTGGCCATGCAAAGCCTTCTGCTGAGCACTTGCCCAGCTAGGAAGGACGTTGTCATCAGTGGGCATCACATGAGTCAGATCCCTCCCTCTGGTCTTAGGTCATGTGCAGGAGATCCAAGGTGAGCCACCCCTGGAGGAATGAACAGATCCATGCACTCACTCATGACACATAACGCAGCAAAGAAGGGAATGAGTCAGTTCCAACCCCAGGCCATGGGGGAAGGAAGGACTCAGGCCATCAGTCCAACCCCCATCATACAGTCATTGCCAGGAGAAAGCCCCATAATTCCCTTCCTGGCTCAATCTTGTCCCACCATTACTGGGAACTCTACATGCTGTGAAGAATTGGGGAACCCTTCCAATAGCCAGAACCTCCACACAACACAAGCACTGTGTAGACAAACCTGCCAACACCCCTGCCAGCAGAGTCAGCTCTTCTAGAGGTGGCTTCTTGCCCCACCCCCAAGTTCATGTGGAAGGTGGGGGCACCTGGTGGTGATCTCCTCATCAGTCCCCACCCAAGGCTGGCCAGACCCTGGGTGAAAACCACTCAGGAGGGGCTTTCTTGCCTGGTTGTGGCCATCATCCCTATGCCAACCCTCACTCAGGGCTGGGGGTTCAACCCCAGCACTTCATCAAGTAAGACACAAAATGTGCTGGAGACCCCAAGCCCTTCTGGAGAATCAGCTTAGAGACCAGGCAGGTTGTCATGATGTGGCTCTAGACTTCAGCATGGGGGGGTTGAATCTCAGTAGACCTTAGCAGGAGACCCTCAAAGTCTTAAGCTGTGAGTTGAAGCCCACTGTTGAGCTCTCTTCTGTTCTGCCCCAGACCCTCTCCCTGTCACCAGGATGGGGAAAAGATGGATTTATTCATGAGGTGTCCAGAGACGGTGGAATTCATGCACCTACTGCAGGTGAAGTGGTTCCATCCCCCATCCCAGCCTCCTCAAGTCTCATCCTTTAGTGAGACTTTTGGAGTAACTTCCAGCCTAACTCTCATATCCCACACAGGGCTGTAAATAAGCAGCTTGAGCTTCACTGTCCACCCCCTTCCAGACCCCTGGAAAGCGACTCCAGAGGAGAATAAAGGACAAACCCGTGCAGCAAAGGAACCTGGGAATGAGCTGGCTGGGGTTGGAGATGCCACCGAGCCCACGCAAGACACTCCCCAACTGCATCTTTCCAGCTTTGCCTTCAGGGTCTGTTTTTAGCACAGGACAAGGTTTAGGAGTTCCGGAGCAGTCGCCCGGCGGGGTCTGGAGGAGGTCCCAGCCTTGCCCTCGCTGACCCAGAAGCCCAACTGGGATGTTGGATGCACCCAGGGGCTGTTTCCCAAGCCTGAGGGGTTGTCCACGTCACCCACCACGGGGTCGGATGCCCCCGGAGCCCCTTCCTGAAGCATCCAGGCTGGGAGTACAGCTGTTCCCCCAAAGTCTTCCCTTCCTCCTCCTCCTCCTCCTCCTCCTCCCCTGTGTCCTATTAAAGGGTGATCGGCTTACACGTGCTCCAGGATGGATTCCTTCAGCTTTGTAACACCAGGGCTCTATATAAAGCCCCACGCTGGAAACTGAAGGGCACAGACAGCTGCAGGAGCAGCAAACGTTTCACATTCCCAGTGTGCTGACGGTCTGGAAGCGAGGGAGACCTGGAAGAGCTTCTTTGAGTGAGTTTCTTCACCAGGGGCTCAGATCTTTTACTAAATTTATATTTATTTATCCAAGGATTGGGGGAAAGGAGCAGTTCCTCTTCACCATGGGTTTGCCTTTTGATCAAGTGGAAGAATTGCGTCTCTACCAGCAAACTCTCCTCCAGGATGGACTCAAAGACATGTTGGACCACAATAAGTTCCTGGACTGTGTCTTGAAAGTGAAGGGGAAGGAGTTTCCCTGCCATCGGCTGGTGCTGGCAGCTTGCAGCCCCTATTTTCGAGCTATGTTCCTCTCGGACATGGAGGAGAGCAAGAAGAGGGAGGTCAGCCTGGAAGACGTCGACCCAGACGTCATGGGCAAGATCCTTCATTACATCTACACCTCAGAGCTGGAGATCACGGAGCAGAACGTCCAGGACATCTTCTCCGTGGCCAACATGTTCCAGATCCCTTCCATCTTCACCGTCTGCGTGTCCTTCTTGCAGAAGAGGCTCTGCCTCAGCAACTGCTTGGCCATCTTCAGGCTGGGCCTGATGCTGGACTGCGCCCGGCTGGCGGTGGCCGCGCGGGACTTCATCTGCGACCGCTTCCCGCTGGTCTCCCGGGACGAGGAGTTCTACCAGCTCTCCCCCGACGAGCTCATCGCCGTCATCTCCAGCGACTCCCTCAACGTGGAGAAGGAGGAGACCGTCTTCGAGGCCGTGATGAAGTGGGTGGGGACCAAGGACCGCGAGGGCCGGCAGAAGGCCCTGCCGGTCGTCTTCGAAAGCATCCGCTTCCGCCTCATGCCCGAGGACTACGTCAAGGACCACGTGGAGAAGCACGCCCTGGTGAAGGCCAGCCCCGAGCTGCTCAAGAAACTGCAGATGGTGAAGGATGCCCAGAAAGGCAAAATCACCGTGGTGAAGAAGAAGAAAGGGAAGAAGGGCGGTGAAAAGAGAGAGAAAGGATTCGTTGCCAACGGGGCGGTGGTGGTGGAGGAGGAGGAGGAGGAGGAGGAGGCTCTGCCAGGGATCTTAAACGACACCATGCGCTTTGGGATGTTCCTCCAGGACCTCATATTCATGGTGAGCGACAGTGGAGCCGTGGCCTATGACCCCACGGCCAACGAGTGCTATTATGCCTCCCTCTCCACCCAAATCCCAAAGAACCACACCAGCCTGGTGACCAAAGAGAATCAGATCTTCATTGTTGGAGGACTATACTACAACGAGGACAGCAAAGAGGATCCCATGAGTTCCTACTTCCTACAGGTATTACCTTTATCTCTCTTTTGTTTCTTTGACCCCTCTGGAGCATCACCAGTGTTTAGGTTCCACAGCAGTATCCTTCATTGTTGTGTGTTGCTAAAACAAAAGCTGTAAATGAAGGTAAAACATCTGAGTTGCTCCAGTGGAGATTCTTCTCCCTGTATTTTTAAGGTAGATCCCACCAGGGCTCGGGGGGAGGTTCTGGTAACTAAGGAAAGAGGCTTGAAGGAGTAGATAATAGGAGTGAGTCTTCTGAGGCAAACCCTGAACTGGAGAGGACCACTTTGAACAGTGCATTGGCCCGGCCCTGGCTGCCAAAGGACACAATAACTGGAGGATTGGTGGCATCAGGTCTGGGTTCTGCTTTCCATCCTTTCTGTTCCCTGGTTATGAAGCCCCAGTACAACCCAAGAATGGCTCTGCAAAGGAACAGCAGCAGCTACAGAGCAAACACCCCGAGGACTCAGGGTATGTCCCTGTCTACCTCTGTGTGTCCTGTGTCTAGTCCCTTCTTGCCTCTGGAGGTGTGCTGGGTCCACCTCAGAGTTCTTCCCTTGGCCAGCTCCACTGTGTGGGCATGGAAGCATGGTGGGATGTCTTTTGGGGCTACTCCACAAGCAAAGTGGCTGTTCTGGTTGGCAGTAGCCAAAGCTGTGGTCAGCTGGAGCTCTGTGGAGGCAACCTGAGCCCCAGGCAGGGCTGTAACTCAAGAGCACCTTCCCTGTAGACAGCTAACACAAGGCACCTTCCCTTCCTGCTGGCCCTGTGGGCATCCAGTGAACCCTCTGGTTCTTCTTCCAGAAGAAATCCCTTGGTTCTTCTTCCATGTCTTCTGGGAAGACACAGTCTGGGCAGAAAGGATGGTGTAAGTTCCCAATGGCCCTGTGGGCATCCAGTGAACCCTCTGGTTCTTCTTCCAGAAGAAATCCCTTGGTTCTTCTTCTATGTCTTCTGGGAAGACTCAGTGACATGTCCAGGCAGAAAGGATGGTGTAAGGGTAGTTCCCAAGCTGAGACCACCTCAGCCTGGATCCTTCCCTTGCCTGGTTGCCTGGGTAGAGCTGTCCTCCTGTGTGCAGGGACCATGCTTGGTGTCCTCAGGTGGGAAGGGTGAGGTGTAGGAGGCTGTTCAGCCCACGTGAAGCCTGTGAA